TGGTCAAGAGCTGGGGCGGGACTATAACTCGCGCGGGGGTATAGCTGTGGGCGGAGCTGTGGCTGGAGGGCGGAGCTATAACTGTGGGCGGGACTATAGCTGGGAGCGGGGCTGTGCCTGGGGGCGGGGCTATAGTTGGGGGCGGGGCTATAGCTGTGGGCGGGGCTGTAGATGGGGGCGGGGCTGTAGATGTGGGCGGGGCTGTCGGAAGGTTTTCAGTCTGTGGACCGTATTTGTGAATTAAATCGATATCGACCCTCTCTTAAAGGGAGGAGGTTTACTTGGGGGGGAGGGGGGGGCGGGAGGGGGTTAACCCTCTTTTTGTTATGATGATAATCCTTGTGATTGACATCGCGTCCCATCACATCTTCGAGACTTCTCAAAGCGCTTCACACGACGGATTAAAATATAGTGACTGTGTGTTTAGTGGGATGGTGAGAGAGAGAGAAACGAGGAGAGAGCACGTGTTGTAGAGTGAAGTGACTGTGTGCTTTGTGGGATGGTGAGAGAGGGAGAGAGAGAGAGAAACGAGGAGGGAGCACGTGTTGTAGAGTGAAGTGACTGTGTGTTTAGTGAGATGGGGAGAGAGTACGTGTTGGAGAGTGAAGTGACTGTGTGCTTTGCGCGATGGTGAGAGAGGGAGAGAGAGAGAAACGAGGAGAGAGCACGTGTTGTAAAGTGAAGTGACTGTGTGGTTTGTGGGATGGTGAGAGAGGGAGATAGAGAGAAACGAGGAGAGAGCAACTGTTGTAAAGTGTAGTGACTTTGTGTTTTGTGGCTTTGGGAGAGAGGGAGAGAGATAGAGAGAAGAACGAGGCGAGAGGACGTGTTGTACAGTACAGTGACTGTGTGTCTCGCACTCACATTCTCTCTCTCTCTCCAACTCTCTCTCACACTCTGAGTCTCTCTCTCACACACACAAACACTTTGTTTCTCTCTATCTCTCTCACTCTCATTAACTCACAGTCTCTCTCTCTCTCTCTCACACTCACAGTCTCTCTCTCCCTCTCCCACACACACTCACAGTCTATCTCTCTCACACACTTAGTCTCGCTCTATCTCTCTCACTCTCAATCACTCACAGTCTCTCTCACACACACACTCATAGTCTCTCTCTCTCACACACTTAGTCGCTCTCTATCTCTCTCACTCATTCACTCACAGTCTCTCTCTCTTTCACACACTCTCTCACTCTCACACACACACACTCTCACTCTCACACACAATCTCTCATTCTCTCTCTCACACACTCTCTCACTCTCTCTCACACACACTCTCTCACACGTATTCTCTCACTCTCTCTCTCACACACACTCTCTCACAAACAAAATCTAACGCATAAAAGCTGCGGAATTAGTTGATAGTTTGCGAAGCGCTTTGAGCTTTCGATGACGTGATGAGCCGCTATAACGAAAACAATTATCATTATTATTTTGAGCGCCTTGGACGTCCTCTCGACGTGAAATAGGTGTAGTGACTGTGTGCTTGTCTGTAAAGTGTAGTGACTGAGTGATTGACTGTAAAGTGTAGCGACTGTCTGTTTGACTGTAAAGTGCAATCACAATGTGTCTGACGGTAAAGTTTAGTGACTGTGCGTTTGACTGTAAAGTGCAGTGGCCGTGTGTTTGACTGTAAAGTGTAGTGACTGCGTGCTTGACTGTCAAGTGAAGTGACTGTATATTTGTGTGTCTATGTGTGTCTCTGTTTGTGTATGTATGTGCGAGAGCGAGAAGTGGGAGCAAATGACTGAGAGAGGGCAGAGAGAAAGTGGGAAAGTGAGAAAGAAGGAAAAGATGAAATCAGAGAGAAAATCCACAATATTTACCACACCATAAGAAATGAATGACTCCAATATATTTTTTTCGACCTTTCCCGATTAGCTTTTGAAAAATCGCAGAAGCCAACATTTTGTACCACCCCCACAAACAAACAACTATAGAGATGTACAGCACAGAAGAAGGTTATTCGGTTCATGGTCACATTGGTGGCACTTTTTATAACAATCCTTCCCTTAGCATTTCCCCTCAATGTTCGCTCTTGAGATGGCTCACTCCTTTCAGATCGATATCGAGACATGTTTTGAAAGCCAACATGGATTCTGCCTCAAACATCCCTCCCGCCAGGGCTTTCCATAACCAAACAACCACTGTACAGGAAAAAAAATCACAAACCTCTTCATATGCTCATTTGTTAACGATCTTAAATTGGAGCTTCAGGCACTTAATCCCGAACAGTGAAACTTTTAGAGCTGATAAGCATTTATTTTCTGTGGAAATCTCCAAGGGAACAGGGCGAGGCTGTGATTTACTGCCCGTCATTAGTTGCTGGACTCTGACCAGGATGTGTTATTACATGTACAGCTCAGAGCACTGAAGCCACATCACTGAGAGGCTCGGGAACCAGAGGCAGGAACCGGAGCTCAGTCAGCGGGGAGACAAGACGGTGAGTCTCTCATTTGCTCTGATTGTGGCTGAAATAAAGCAGGAAAGTTATTGCAGGTTTTAAACGCAGGGAAATGCCACTCCATGCGAACAGCGCAAAATAAATGCAACTTGCTGTTTTGTAGTTAGTGAAAGTTTACTGATATTAAATAAACCCGGAGCCAGTGATCGTGGAATCATTTAAATTTAATTTGCTTAATTAGTTTAACTAACCATCGTGACATCGTTTAAGGGAAAAATTTTCTTTTACATCTACTCATCAATTTGATTGACCCGAAATATTGTTGATCAACGATGGGCCCTCGTGTGGAATATTAGCACCAGCCAGACTGCACGGGCTGAATGGCTTTTTGCTGAGCTTGTTTAATCCTGGCTCGTAGACAGTTCTTCTAAAACTAGCCATGATCCTGCTTGTTTTCCTCTACACTGCCTTAAGGAGCTGGCCAGACGCTTTTGACAATCGTTTCACCCTGCTCTTTGGGGAGTTAGACTCCAGCTATTAACCCAAAACACATTCTGGGCTCTCACAAGCCTTGGCTCTTGCCAATCTGTGCCGATCACTTTCCAGCAGTAGTTAAGAAGGATAGACACTCCATAGAGAGGTTGGTCATTCCATCTACAATCGATCGCTGTAGTGTCCACGTATAGGTGGGGTGCATGGACATCTCAACTTTATTTGGATACTGTTTGGTTTGGTGATGGGTGGTGTTAGACCCTCAGCTGACAAAAGTAATACTGAGTACAGCAACTACACTACTGTTTAAGTGCTCTAAGATGCCAAAAACGTGAAGGAGCCTATATTGTTGTTCTTGATATTGTTTTGTTGACTTCTCTGAGATGTCCCTTGTTATGGCTGAAGCTCCACAGAATATCTCATTTTGTTTAAAATTCATCCCTGTAACTCAGAGTTTCAGTCTATTGTGGATCTGGAGATGGTGAAGAAAAGCTGGAACTTTCGAATATTGCTCACTAGCTTTCACTATGTGGGAAATCAGACTTAATGCTCAATCGTAATCTTCCCGACTGAATTGCCTCCATTTTCTTTGTCTTTCCCAACAACTAGATATGAATTTGTTAAGATGGCTCTCATGTTATTGATTTTCAAAGAGTTGAGTGTAGCTCACCTGATTTTATTGGTCCCAAGTCTAGAGTCCAACACCCAGTTATATTACCTGAAAATATCCATAAAAGGCAACATTGCCTGTTTGCATTGATAACGTTTCACTGACTGTTACATAAATGAGGGTTCAAAGAGCACGAACAGGAGATTGAAGCACTGAACACAGTGGAATTAGGCAGTTAACCCAAATACATCAAAGGGAAGGTTGAAGTTGCAGGTGGTACTCGCACACTGGTGTTAGTCTGATGATGGGTAGGAAGCCGAGTGATTGGGGAATAGAAATAGATACAACACCAATTTGCATTTATATAGCACCCTTCTCGCAGGGTCAGTATCCCAGAGCGCTTAAAACATAACGGGCTATAACAGATATATATTGTAAGAGGAACTGTGTAGGCTGGAGTGAATTTTTTTATTGCTCACATGAACAGATTAATAAAGAAATGCAGCACTACTTGCATGTGGCAGCCTGGCTCAGTGCTTGCACTCTCTTACCTGTGTCAGAAGGGTGGGTTTATCCACAAGTCTGGACATGAAACAACACGGTCTGAGATGAGAATCCAATGCAGTACTTGGGGTGTTTTGCACTATCAGAGGTGTAATGTCAAACGACTCCGGAGTAGAGTTCCAGACCTGGGAAATGAAAAGGAGATGAAAGCTTGGCCACTGATGTTCGGGAGCATTAGGCATGGGATCAAAAGTACACATGAGCCAGAATGGAGAGAGCAGCTGGGGCAGTGGGTTTGTAAAATGTTACAGAGATAGAATGGGCGAGCCATGCAGAGATGTAAACAAGGGGACACGGATCTGAATTGAATCTGTAAGAGAAGCTTTCTAAACAGTGCTCTAAAGGTAAGCCACACATTTTGAGCTGAGTAAACTCCATCAATGTTCCCTATCCATAACCATACCCATTTAGGTCCCCACGCTTCCACTCTTGCCAATTTGTGCCTAATACTTTCAGGGATAAGGTTAAAAGTAGATATGCCTCTGGTACGTTCAATTCTAAGCACAGCGTGTTTGATGTGTTGGTGGGTGGAGGCATTCTCAGTCTGGTTTGGATATCCTTAATCACGGTGATGGGTCTGTACATGTGCCAGACACCCGACAACCAAATCAAATGCTACAGGATCGAGTGGCGTGAGGGGATGATGGTAATACAATACAAATCACATTTGTATTGCGACTTTTATTTTGGGAGGACATAATGATAGAGATATGGAGCCTGGTATAGCATCGCAAACAAGCTGCAGTTTTGTATGGTCTGCAGTTTGAGTAGAGAGCGTGTCTGAATGCCGTTGAGTAAGGGATTCATATAGTCTGGCCCCAATATAATAAAGATGTATATACGTTTTTGGTAACCCCAGGGGAGGGGGTGTAAGACGTGCAGCTGCAGGTAAGCAATATTATAGAGTTCAGTGAAAGCCAAGAGTGAGTGAGAGCCAACATACATGGATTAAAGGATAGTTAAGGTGGAATAAGACAAGGTTCTTCTCATTGGCTCAGAAAGGTGAACTTAGCTTTTGATGCAGATTGATGCCGTCAATACCTAGTGTGAGTATGCAGTGTCAGGACTCAAACAGGTGAGTCTTCTTCTTGACAACGTTCAACTGAGGATAGATGGAGATCAATCAGCATTTTGTATGTCATTGTTGGTGACATGGAGCTGAGCTGGTGATGTGTGCATCAATGTTGGTGAGGGCACCATGGGGCTGAGCTGCTGAAGTGCATTGGTGTCAGTGTTATTGAGGACAGCATTGGGCTGAGCTGGTGAAGTATGTGTGGGTCAGTGTTGTTGAGGAAATTATATGGCGTTGCTGGTGAAGCGTGTGTCAGTTTCTGTGCCGTGCGGCTTTGCTAGTGATGTGTGTATCAGTGTTGGTGAGGGCACCGTAGGGCTGAGCTGGTGAAGTGTGTTGGTGTCAGTGTTGGTGAGGACAGCATGCGTCTGAGCTGGTGAAAAATGTGTGTGTCATTGTTGCTGAGGACACTATGGGGCTTTGCAGGTGAAATGTGTATCAGTCTTGGTGGTATGCGGCTGAGTTGGGGAACTGGATGTGTCAGAGTTGGTTGCGTGGGGCTGAGCTAGAGGAGTTTGCGTGTGTCAGTGTTGGTTGCATGGGGCTTAGCGAGAGTAATATGCGTGTGTCAGTGTTGGTTGCATGGGGCTGAGCGAGAGTAATATGCGTGTGTCAGTGTTGGTTGCATGGGGCTGAGCGAGAGTAATATGCGTGTGTCAGTGTTGGTTGCATGGGGCTGAGCTGGTGAAGTGTGTGTATGTCAGAGTTGGTTGCATGGGGCTGAGCGAGAGAAGTATGCGTGTGTCAGTGTTGGTGGCATATGTCTGAGCTGGTGAAGTGTGTGTATGTCAGTGTTGGTGGCAAGATGCTGGGTTGGCCAAGTGTATATGTATCAGTGTTGATGGAATGGTGCTCAATAGGCGAAGTATGTGTTTGTAAGTTTTGGTGGCATGGGGCTGATTTGGGGATATGTGTGCGTCACTCTTGGTGAGGAAATTATGGGACTGATAGGGAGAAGTGTATGTGTGTGTCACTGCTCGTGACATGGAGCTGGGTTGGGAAGCGCGAATATCAGGATAAACCCGGGAAAGAATGTTAAAACCAGGCCAGTCACGCTGTCGTCAGTGGAAGGGAAACGTCTGGAGACTATAATCCGGGACAACATAAAATATCACTTTGTAAAATACGGGTGAATAAATGACAGTCAACATTGGTTTACTAAAAGTAAATCATGTCTGAAAAACTTGATACAAGTTTTTTGATGAAGGATTAGTAAGTGTGGATGAAGGTAGAGCAGTTGATACAGTTTATAGGGATTCTCAAAAGGCGTTCGATAATGCGCCACATAACAATATTGAATCCACTGGTGTTTCTGATCTACATAAATTACCTGAACTTGGTTAGAGGGATCACAATTTCCAGTTTCCAAATGAGAGTTAGCTAGGAAAAGTAGCAAAGAGGAGCAGAATGCAAGGGGACGTAGACAGACTGGTAAAAGGGGCAGACAGTTGGCACATAAAGTTTAGTGTGAAAAAATGTGAAGTGATACATTTTGGGAGGAAGAATGAGGAGAGAAAATATAAGTTAATTGTAGAATCCTAAAGTGGGCGAAGGAACAGAGAGAGACCCGAGGTTTCATATGAGTACATCTTTGAAGATGGTAGGACAGGTATATACAGCTGTTTAGAAAGCGTATGGGATATTAGGCTTAGGCTTTATAAATAGGGGAATAGAATGCAAAAGTCAAGAAGTTATGATGAAACAATGGTAAGGCCTCAGTTAGAGATTGTATTCTGAGCACTACACTTTAGGAATGATGTTAATGCACTAGAGAGGGTACAAAGGATATTTACCAGCATAGTACCAGGAATGAGGGATTTCAGTTATCAGGAGAGTTTGGAGAAGCTCGGATTATTCTCCTTGGAACAGAGAGAGTTTAGTGGAAACTTAATAGAAGTTTTCAAAATGATGAAGAGATTTGATACGATGAACAAGTAGAAAAAAATTCCACTGGCGGGTCGGTCGATAACCAGAGAACACCGATTTAAAAGTTGTTAAAAGAAACAGCGGAGATGTGACGTGAATTTATTTCACGCAGCGAGTTGTTCGGAACTGGAATACATGGCCTGAAAGGGTGGTGAAAGCCGATTCGCTAACAACTTTTAAGAGAGAAGTGGATAATTATTTGGTGAATACTAGATAATAACAATAATAATGATAATAATCCTTGCATTTGATATAGCGCTTTTCACAACTTCTGGACGTCTCAAAGCGCTTCACAGAACATACTGTAAAGGGAATTGACTGTATATTTGTGGGCGAAACGCAGCAGCCAATTGCGCACAGCAGTGACCCACAAACAGTCGTGGATTAAAAATGACCAATTTATTATTGTTTTTTGTTGGATTTTTTGGAGAGATTATTATTATTAGGCGTGTGGAGTAAGAAAACTTCCCCAAGGTTTCTCCCTGCCAGGTATTGAACCCAGGTGTCTCGCTTCCAAGGCGAGTGCTCTAACCACTGATATACGGAACACCAATGAGATTGCAGGGCTACAGGGAGAGAGCATTGGAGTGGGATTGATTTGGGTAGCTTTTTTTTTCAAAGAGCCGACATGGAAGCAATCTGCCGAGAGGTCCCCTTCTGCGCTCTCTAATTCTGTGAAATTGGCTGTTGCATTCCCGTACAAAATACTGATCCACAATAATTTACAGCAATTGGGGAAATGTTCTGAGACATCCTGCTGACTTGAAAGAAAACAAATGCAAGAAACGTTAGTACATATATGCCTAACTGTGTTTTAGTGAGAAATCTGAATATACTTATTTGCTGAATTTTTCATAATGATAGTATTGCAGTTTACTTCATTGCAGGATAGATGTCAAATCTGGGAAAGAAGAACATTCCATTTGAAATGCTAACATAGTCCTATTGCCTGAAAGATCACATCTGGATTTCCTTTTAGCCTTGCAACAGTTGTTCTCCAAGAAACGAAGATAAGGCTCAACACCAGTCACAAATCTTACCAACCAGGCTGCATTTAGCAGCACTTGAATGCTGCGTTGGAATATTGTTGGGAAAGAAGAAACATAAATCTGAAACACAGAGCCACGAGAAAACTGATGATTCCATTAAATGTTCACCATCACCACTACTAAACACATCCACATCTGGCGAAAGTGAAACAACGACCACATCTGGTGTTGCCCAACTACATTGCGATACGCTTCCACCACTTTGGGAGATTCGAGTGAGATGGCCTCCACGGAGCCTGAACCAAGAGCCAGTGCAACAGGCAATGCCACAACACGTGGTGTGGATCAGACCCTCGGCAACACATCAACAGGTAATGGCTTCTCTTTAACTGATTTTGAGGAAAGTCTTAAAGTGATGATAATAAACAGAGGTGAAGTGTTTACTAAGTCCGTCTAAACATAAATTCTTACATTTATATAACATTCTTTGGAACTGGGATCCCAATCAATGAGTATCGGGGTTGAGCAAATTCCCAATTTGTAAAATGGAAGATGAGGGACTTGTTGGACGGTCCATGAACCAAATCAGTGATGTTGACAGAGCAACCAAGCTGGCACATGGGCAGGTCTAGCAGTGACACACAAGCCATCCTGGCACATGGGCAGTCTTGTCGTGACAGGGGAGCCAGCCTGGCACATGGGCAGTTCTTGTTATGACACACAAGTCAGCCTGGCACATGGGCAGCTCTTGCAGTGACACACAAGCCAGCCTGGCACATGGGCAGGTCTTGTTGTGAAAGAACATTCCTGGTGGATAGGATGTTTCCAAATCAGTTCCTCTTAACGCTGCAAACCAAAGCCCTTATGAGTAGAGTGGACACAGCCCATATGTATGTGGATGATACTCAAATCTACTTCTCCGCTCCCCCATCTCCTACAGTTGCATCTCCCAGGCCACCAATGCCCTGTTAGTTTGTCTGGTGGTTTTCAAGGCCTGGATGTGCACAAACTTCCTGGAGCTGAACATTGGCACAATGAAAGCCATAATCTTTGGCTCCCGCCAGCATCTTCTTTCCTGTGGGTCCGAACGCCTCAACCTCCATGGGCTCTCCCTCAAACACACCAAACCTGTGTGTATGCGAGGAGTTAGGTTCAATCCATAACTTTCCTTTCTCCCCCATATCCAATCCCTGACCAGGACTGTTTGTTCCTCCCCTGCCACATTCCCTGCCTCTGTTTCACACCCACAGCAGCCAAAACCCTCATTCACGCCTTTGTCACATCACGGCTGGACATTTCAAATGCCATCGCTGCTGATCTGCTTAGTTCCATCATAAACAGTATTTAATTAACTCCGCCAGCCGCATATTAAACCACAGAAAACTCAGGACGCCAATCACACCAGTCCTTGCCAGGCCGCAATGGCTCCCAATTTTCGAACCGATCGACTTTACGGTCCTCGCTCTCGTCTTCAAATGCATAGATTTCCCGGCAGCTCCCTACCTTTCCCACTTCCTCAACTCAACTCCACCACCCGCTGCCTACAGAGGATATAAGTCTAAGTCCCGCCGTGGGGTTTGAATCTGAAATCTTCTGACTCTGGCAGGAATAAGTTCAAGTTAATAGATTTGAAAGAGGTTTTCAAAAGTAAGAGTAGTTTTGATAGAGTGGAGTCGGAGAAACAGTTTCCTCTGCAGGTTGGTTCGGTAACCAGGGGACACATATTTAAAATAATTAGATTCCTGAAGTGGATTGTCAACCTGGTCTATGTGGTCAAAGCCCTGATGTGGAGTTTGTTCCCACAACCTTCTGTCTCAAGAGCGACAATGATACCAACTGAGCCAGGATGTCAGCTGTCTGTTGCTCATTCAAACTAATAATACTAACTCTATTCAAACAGGTGCCAGTCTAACGAGTGAAGCCACTGTTGATCGAAGTGAACCAGATGTCCCCAGTGACCTGATAGGTATGTGACAGGGGCAAGATTCAAGCTGGTTAAACACTTATAAAATAAACAGTTTGACACTTTTCCGTTTACTTGTTGGTTTCCAGTATATTCAAATGAGGAGAGAGGGAAGGAGCCAGATAATGAGGAAGGGGAGGGGAGAGTGGAGGAGGGACATAAGGAGGGAGATGAGGGGAGGAGAGAAATAATGAGGGAGGAGAGTGACCTTATTGGATTCTTACATTATTTCAGCCAATATTGCAAATGATCTCACAATAAGTCAGAGATGAGGTCTCACAAGTCGTCATATAATGGCCTGAAAATTTACCGTTGTTTGAGTGTAATTCAGATTGTTTAACCCTTGTTTGCCTGGCTCAGTTGGTGTCCTCTTGTCTCGGAGTCAGAGGTTGTGGGTTCAAGTTCATATCAAGAGGACAAGTTGACACTCCAGTGTCATTTCTGGGATGTGCTGCATTGTCTCGGAGAAGCCACCGTTGGGATACTAAACAGAGGCCCTGTCTCCGTTTTCAGGTGGACATTAAAAACCCCATGACACCATTTGAAAAGAGAAGTGAGTTTCTCTCTCCCGGTTTCCTGGCCAAAAATTCCTAACATCCATGTGGTCAGTCACTTCACGGCTGATTGTGGGACATCGCTGTGCACAAATAAGCTACTATGTTTGCCAACAAAGTCATTAAACTACGTGGTAAATCTAGTACAGCGCTTTGGGCAGTCCTCTTGGATTGAGAGGCCCTACGCTGAATCTAAGTATTATTGTTTAATAATGCTCAATATTTCTTCCATTAACTTTATGATTATTTTATGCTCGAAATGAAGCCATTCAGCGACTGCACAAGGAGACGTTACAGAAAAAATGTGAGAAACTGGAAGTGAAGACCATCCTGATAAAGGAGAAGGTGAGGACGTTTCAGTTGGTTGATCACTACACGGAGTTAACTGTTATTTCTGATCTCCGTCACCGGAAACTTGTAGAACATGAGCTGCTGGCGAGAGGCAGAGACCACGAGGAGTGGAGACAGGAGCAACTCCGGGGAGAGCTGGAAACAATCCGAACTGAAAAACTATTCCAGAGCAGCTTCTCTAAAGAAAGTCATTCACCTTCTTCTCAGGGAAGCAGATCTGACTCTCGCACAGGGATCTCCGCAGTCGTGAGTGGAGTGGCTGGGATTGGAAAAACAACCATGGTGCAAAAGATTGTCCATGACTGGGCCACAGGCAAAATCTATCCTCACTTCCACTTTGTATTCGTTTTTAAATTCCGAGACCTAAACAGACTTCACGACAGAACAACGCTGAGCCGTCTGATCGTGGAGCAGTATCCTTACCTCAGGGGTGTTCTGGATGAGCTGTGGAAACATCCAGAGACCTTGCTCTTTATATTTGATGGTTTGGATGAATTCAGGGCAAGGATTGATTTCGCTGACAGTCGGAGAGACACAGAGCCTCAGCGCAGGTGCACAGACCCTGAATTCCTCTGTGATGTATCTGACATTGTGTACAGTTTAATACAGAAAAAGCTGCTGCCAGGCTGCTCAGTGCTGGTGACCAGCCGCCCCACTGCATTACAGTTACTGGCAAAGGCTCAGGTCAGTGTCTGGGCTGAAATCCTGGGATTTGTGGGTGAAGAGAGAAGGGAATATTTTCACAAGTTTTTTGAAGATCAGGAGGTGGCGGCTGCTGTTTACAGCCACGTGGAGGAGAACGAGCTCCTGCTCACCATGTGCTTCAACCCGTCCTACTGCTGGATCCTCGCTCTGTCTCTGGGTCCCTTCTTTACACGGAAACACAGCAACAAACAGCGAGTTCCCAAGACAGTCACACAACTCTTCTCCTATTATATTTATAACATACTATCACATCACAGTGTCAAGATGGAAAGCCCCCGTGATGTGATGCTGAAGATTGGTGAGATGGCCTTCACTGGAGTCTCCCAGAGAAACATTGTCTTTAATGAGGAAGATCTGATGAAATATAACCTCCAGCCTTCCCAGTTCCTCTCTGGGTTTCTCATGGAACTTGTGGAGAGAGAGTCTTCAGAGCACAGCGTGGTCTACACATTCCCGCACCTCACCATCCAGGAGTTTGTAGCCGCACTCGCTCAGTTCCTGTCTCCTCATTCCAAAAACACCATGTGGCGTTTGATCCGCAGTGACAAGGAGGAGGACGGCCGGTTTGAGATATTCCTGCGCTTTGTTGCGGGTCTCTCCTCCCCACGGGCAGCTCAGCCACTGGAGGAATTTCTGGGGCCATTTGTCCATCAGACAACCTGCGCGGTGATCGATTGGCTGAAGGAGAAGGTTAAAGCTCAGATTAGAGACACAAACACCGACACTGGGAAAAGGAAGCTGCTGAACACACTCCACTACCTGTTTGAGTCTCAGAATCAAGCCCTGGCACAGCTCACACTGGGCTCTGTACACACACTGACATTTGGTGACTTCTCTCCAGAGAAAGCATTGAGACTGACACCGATAGACTGTGTTGTGGTGTCTCAGGCCATTGGACTGTGTGACACAATAAAACAACTGAATCTGAGGAACTGCTACATTCAGGAGGAGGGTCTCCAGCGTCTGGTTGCTGCTCTGCACAAGTGTCAAGAGTTGCTGTAAGTTACTCTATTTGTAAATCTTATTCATATTATTCTTATTTCAAAGCCATTCTCCAGGACTTTAATGGCATTAAACACCAGCTGATCAATGGGAGAATGGTATCACACAGCTGGAGGGAACAGTAGGTCACAGTGTGATGGCCGTCACACACCACAGTCCTGTCCTGGGGGATTGGGATGTGAATGGCTGACATTCCACTGTACACATGGCTGCTCCACACCCTGAGCCCTTCGGTGGCATTCCCAGGTTGCTGATGTTATTGGGATTGGTTCCTGACTCCCGACTGGGATGCTCACTTTATTGAATAAATTGTAACTTGATCCCAGGTCAGACAGACCAGAGCTTACGTTCAGAGACGCCATTCGGTGTTTCATGGTTATTCATACAGGAGATGGTTCTCCTGACCACAGAGTCTCTGACACACAGACACCCTTCTAACCTCTAAGCCTCTGAGCTTCCCACCAGCTCAGGACCCGAGGGCTCACTCTCCTGAACCGTGTGGTTCGGCCGGAGGATTCCTGTGTCCTCTCCTCCTGGCGGCAGCTCCTCCCTCAGTGCTGTATTCCAGGGTAAAAAGACCTCCCGAGGGCTTGGCCATCCCATTTATCCAGGGGCAGACACACCCTCTCTCCAGTACAATGTTATAACACTGATACAATATAATTCACCCCAAACACATCTCCCTCAGCCTGACATCAGTCTGACAGGTGTGGGCTCCCCTGGCCCTGGTGAAGAGTCTCCATTTCCAGCTCCTGAGATCTCACAGCCACAGAGATTCTCTTTCCCAGGTCTGGGGCTCACAGTGTTTGGATAACGAGAGAATAGAGAGATACACTGCCCAGAACCTGGAGATTGCAGGCCGGGCTTCCAGAAGCCAAGACATTAGCCTCACTCACACACTGACTGAGGGTTACAGTGCTGCTGGAATAGACTCAGCGTAAACTGTGCTGCTGCCAGGACCAGGCACTGGGGAGATCCCACTGCCTGTAGCCCCAGCAGCCCAGAATGTTAAGGCGTCTGTCCAGATAAGGTGCTGTAACAAATGCAAGGCTTATTATTACGATTATTGTTATCTGATGCTGTCTCTTACACCAGCTACACTTTGTCTCCACAAACAGTTGTGTTTCTCTGTCTCTCCCACAAAACACACAGTCACTACGCTTTATAATATATTATTTCTCAGTCTCGCTTACTTTTTGTCTCTTTCTCTCTCTCTCTCTCTAAGTCCGTCTGTATCTGTTCTTTTCTCTAAGTCTCTCTCTATCAGTCTCTCTCTCAGTCTTTCTCTATGTCTCTCACTCTCTCTTTCAGTCTCTCTCTCAGTCTCTTTCCCTCTCAGAGTTTCAGTCTCTCTGTCACTCCCGCTAAACACAGATTCACTACACACACATATATATTCTTGCTCAGTCTCTCCCCATCTTTCTTTCTCTCTCTCTCTGTCTCTCCCACAAAATACACTGGATATATATCTCTCACTGCCTTTTTCTTCCTATCGCTGTCAGTCTTTCTCCTCGTCTCTCTCTCGTTCTCCCTCATTCTCACTTTCTGTCTCTTGCTTTCACTCTCAGTCTCTCTCTCAATCTCAGTCACTCGCTGCTTCTTCCGTTGAGTCTCTCTCTCACTCTTCCCCACAAAACACAGTCACTACACTTTTTAATAAATTCGCTCTGTGTATGTGTCTCTCTTGCTCTCTCACGCACACACACAGTCTCTTTGCTTCTCCCTCTCTCTGCCTCTCTCTCTTTCTCTGTCAGTCTCTTTGTCTCCTCCTCTCTAAAAGAGAGAGAAAAAGCCTCCTACCATACACTTAATAATGTAGTCTCCCTCTCAGTCTCCCTCTCTTCACTAACTCTGTCTCATTTTCTATTTCTTTTGCAGTTTTTTTTCTCACTCATATTCTCTCTCTTTGTCACTCAGTCTCTCTCTCTCTCTCAGTTTCCTTCTCGCTCTCTCTGTCTCTCAAAGAAAAACACACAGTCACTTCGCATTTGCTTCCCTCTCGCTCATTCTCTGAAAGCACGAGAGACTGAGAGAGAGAGTAACTGCGAGAGAGAAAGAGACTGAGAGAGAGAGGTAGAGATTGAGAGAGATAGACTGACAGAGAGAGGGAGGTGGGTAGCAAGAGACACCCAGAGAGGGGGTTGGGGAGGCAGAGAAGCACTGAGAGAGAGTGAGTGAGAGACACAGAAAGGGAAAGATAATAAGAGCGCGACTGTGACAGAAAGTTATAGCGATATACCGGGAGAGAGACTGAGTCAGAGGGAGAGGCACTGTGAGAGAGAGACTGGGAGAGAGAGACTGAGATAGAAACGGATACTGAGAGAGAGAGAGAAACTGTGAGAGAGAAAGATAAGCGAAGGACAGATAAAGAGAGATAGACTGAGAGGGAGTGACTACGAAAGAGAGAAAGAGCCTGGGAGAGATACAGAGAGAGAGAGAGAGAGAAACTGAGAGAGACTGTGGAGAAAATATATTACAAACCGTAGTGACTGTGTGTTTTGTGGGAAAGACAATGGGACAGAGACTGGGAGAGAAAGACCGAGAGAGGAAGACTGAGAGAGAAAGAGACTGATAGAGAAACAAAGAGATAAACACTGAGAGAAAGGAGTAGAGACTGTGAGAGGAAATATAATTTGTGGTGACTGTGTTTGTGGGAGAGATTCAGCGAGAGACTGCGAGAGATGCTGATAGAGATTGAGCGAGAGGCTGAATGAGAGAAAGACGGCGACAGATGGAGAGCGAGACTGAGAGTTGGACAAAGAGAGACACTGACTCAGGGAGCGAGAGAAAGAGAGAGAGACAGACTGGGAGATATACTGAAAGAAAGAGAGAGAGATAGAAAATGAGAGAGCGATAGACTGACAGGCAGAGAGAGAGAGGCAGAAAGAGCTACTGAGAGATAAACAGCGAAGCAGTGAGAGAGGGAGAATAAGAGACACAGAGCGAGAGACTTAGAGAGAGAATGAGAAAGAGACTGAGTGAGAGAAAGATAGAGCAATGGACAGATAGAGAAATAGTGTGAGTGAGAGCCTGGTAGAGAGAGAATGGGAAAGAAACTGAAGCAGAAAGAGAAAGCGGCAGAGAGAAAGAAAGACTGAGACAGATGGACTATGAGAGAGAACAAAATTGGGAGAGATAAACAGAGAGAGAGACTGAGAGCGACTGTGGAGAAAATATATTAAAAGCTGTGGTGACTGTGAGTTTTGCGTAAAAGAGAGAAAGAGAGACGGAGAGAGAAAGAGGCTGAGAGACACTGTAAGAGAGAGACAGAGAAATAGAGCGACTGAGATAGAAAGATTGTTAGAGAGACAGAGAAAGAGACTGATAGAGAGACTGAGAGAGAGACACAATGAGAGACAGAGAGAGAGAGTAAGAGAGAGAACAGAGAAAGAGACTATGAGAGGATATATAACATCCAGTGAATGTGTTTTTCGGGAGAGACATAACGACAGACTGTGGGAGAGACTGAAGGGGAGACCGAATGAGAGAAAGACAGAGCGATAGACAGAGACTGAGACAGAGAGAGTGATGGGTGGAGCGGGGGTGATAGACAGACAGAGAGACAGACAAAAAGAGGGAGAGATACAGACAGATAGAGAGAGACAGACAGACACATAGAGAGTGACACAGACAGACAGAGAGAGAGTGAGAGAGATAGTGAGACAGAGTGAGAGACAGACAGACAGAGAGACAGACCGACAGACAGAGAGACAGAATATCAGAGTGACATACAGACAGACAGTCACGCACCGACAGACAGGCAGACAGGCAGGAAGATTGACAGATGGACGGACGGAAAGAGTCAGAGATTCCTACAGTCTGAGACTGAGACAGCGACTGAATGAGAGAAAGACACAGTGAGAGGCAGAGCGAGATTGAGTGGGAGAGAGGGAAAGACACTGTGACAGAGAAAATATTGTGTATTGTAGTGACAGTATGTTTTGGGGGTGAGACAGAGACTGAGAGAGTGAGAATGAGAGAGAGTGACTGAGAGAGAGAGAGAGAGAGAGAGAGAATGACAGATACAGAGAGAGAGATGGAGAGAGAGTCAGAAAAAGAGATTGAGAGGGACTGAGAGAGAGCGACTTCATGAGAGAAAAAGAGAGCGAGAGGCAGAGAGACTGTGTGAGAGGGAGAGAATGTGAAAGCCAAAGAGAAAGAGAGGATTAGACTGAATTAGACACGATGACTGTGAGACAGAGACTGAGGGAGGAAATATATTATAAAGTGTACAGTCTGTTTTGTGGACAAGACTGAGAGAGAGACTAAGACAAAGAGACTGAGAGAGAACAGAGAGAGAGAGAGGCTAAGAGAAAGAGAGAGATAGAATGTGAGAGGAAATATAACATATAGTAAGTACTTTGTGTTTTCTGAGAGACACAGAGAGAGATAGAGTGAGAGAGACTGAGACAAAAATATATTATAAGGTGCAGTGACTGTTTTGTGGGAGAGACAATGAGAAAACGTGAGAGTGACTGTTAGACAGACGGGGACTGAGAGTGTAAGAGGCTGATAAAGAGAGAGACAGAGTCAGAAAGAGAGAATGAGAGTGACAAAGCGAGAGACAGAGAGAGATTAAGTGAGAGATAAACAGAGTCAGAGATAGCGAGAGAGGCTCAGAGAGAAACGGAGTGAGAGACTGGGAGAGAAACGGAGAGCGAGAGATAGACTGAGAGAGAGGGTGAGTGTGAACATATTATAAAGTGTAGTGACTTTCTTCTTGTGAGACACAGAGAGAGACTGAGAGAAAAAGAGAGAGATAAAGAGAATGAGTTAGAGAAAGAGAGACTGAGAGAGTCTCAGAAGGAGAGTGAAAGATAATATGAAATTGACTGTGAAACAAAATATATTATAAAGTGTAGTTACTGTGTTTTGTGGGAGAGACAGAGAGAAAGAATCTGAGAGGGAGACTGAGTTAGAGAGAGAGAGAGAGAGAGACTGAGAGGCAGAGAGAGAGACTCTGAGTTAGATAGAGAGAGACTGAGTTAGAGATAAAGGGAGACTGAAAGAGAGAGAGAGAGAGAGAGAGAGAGACTCAGAGCGAGAGACTGAGAGGAAGAGAGACTGAGGAAGACTGAAAATATATTATAAAGTGCAGTGCCTGTGTTTCATGGGAGAGATAGAGAGACTGACTTACAGTCGTGGAGTCCTGTAGCTCAGTGGTTAGAGCACTCGCTTTGCAACTGAGAGACCTGAGTTCAATTCCAGGCAGAGGGCGAAATCTTGGGCAAGTTTCCTTACTCCACACAGAGCCTAATAATAATCCCTCCAAAAAAAACTCAATAATAAATTGGTCATTTTCAATCTACGACTGTTTGTGGGACATTGCTGTGCGCAATTGGCTGCCGCGTTCGCCCACAAATATACAATCACTTCTCTTTCCAGTGTGTTCTGTGAAGCGCTTTGGGACGTCCTCCCGACGTGAAAAGCGCTATATCAAATGCAAGGATTATTATTATTATTATTATTATTATTCTGTGAAGCGCTTTGGGACATCCTCCCGACATGAAAAGAGCTATATCAAATGAAAGGATAATTATTATTATTATTACAGAGAAAGATCGGAAAAGAGTGACAGAGAGAGATTGGGAGAGATTATGAGGGAAAATATATTACAAAGTGCAGTGACTGTTTTGTGGAGAGTGAGATACAGAGAGTGAGACAATGAGAGATACAGAGCGAGAGAGAGTCAGTGAGCGACTGAGAGAGAGAATGGGATACAATATCAAAGAGAGAGTGACTACGAGAGAAAGAGAGAGAGAAATAGAGAGCGAGAACACAACAAAAAGTAAAACAGAGAGCGACAGAGAGAAAATCTGAGAGAGAGAGAGACAGTGAGAGAAAATATTTTAAAGTGTATTCACTGTGTGTTTTGTTGGAGTAACGGAGAGAGACTGGGAGCGAGAGAGAGAGAGACAGAGAGGGAGAGAGAAAGGGAGAAACCGCGAGAGAGACGGAGAAAGCGATAGACAGAATGAGAGAGAGACTGTGCGAGAGCCTGAGAGCCCGAGAGAAAGAGTGAGCGAGGGAGAGTCTTGCTGTGAGAGAGAGAGATTGAGAGAAAGAGAGACTGAGAAGGAGAGAAACAGACTGTGTAGAACATATATTATCAAGCGTAGTGACTTTGAATTATGTGGGAAAGACAGAGAGAGACTGTGAATGAGAGAGAGACTGAGGTAGGTAGAGAGAATGTGAGGAAGATAGAGACTGAGAAACACTGAGAAAATATACTGTATAGTGTAGTGAATGTGTTTTTCAGAGAGATAGAGTGACCGAGAGAGAAACTGACAGAGAGGGAGACATAGAGAGAGAGAGAGGGAGAGACATAAACAGAAAGAAAGACTGAGAGAGAGAGAGAGAGAGAGATACTGTCAGAGAAAATAAAATATAAAATGCAGTGACTATGCTTTGAGGAGACACGGAGAGAGAGAGAGACTGTGACAGATAGAGAGAGAATGAGAGAGAGAGCATAGGAGACAGAGTGACTGACTGCGATAGAGAGAGAGACAGACATAGAGAGATAGATAGTCCGAGAGACACAGAGAGAGAGAGAGACCGAGAAAGAGAGAGGCTGAGAGGGAGAGAGTTAGAGAGACTAAGCGAGATAGACTGAAAGACAGAGGCTAAGGGAATGTGAGAAAGCGGGAGAGAGAGAGTGAGAGATCGAGATTGAGAGAGAGACTTTAGGGCGAGAATGAGCGACTGAGAGAGAGGCAGAGGGAGAGATCGTGAGAGTGACTGTCAAAGAGAGACCGAGAGAGAGATAGTGTTAGAGAGCGACTGAGAGAGAGAGAGAGAGAGACAGAGAGAGAAAGACTGAGTGAGACATAAATGGACAGAGATTATTTTATAATGTACAGTGAGTGTATGTTTTGTCGGTGAGACAGACAGAGAGACAGATTGACAGAGAGAGAAATCGAGAGAGAGAGATAGAGACAGAGACTGAGAGAAAATATATTTTAATGTGTAGCGAATGTGTGTTTTGGGGGGAAACAGATAACAGAGTGAATGAGAGAGTGAGTGGGAGAGATTGGCAGGAATTGCGAGAGAGATAGAGAAAGAGACTGAGAGAGAGACTGAGAGAAAATGACTCAGAGATACAGAGTGAGAGAGAGAATGAGGGACAGCCTCAGAGAGCCTGAGAGACAGAGACTGAGACAGTGAGAGAGAGAGAGAGGGAGAGACTGAGAGAAAGAGAGAGACAGTGAGAGAGAGTATGTTATAACGTGCAACAACTGTGATTTGTGGGAGAGGCAGAGAAGAAACTGAAAGAGAGAGACTGCGACAAAAAGTGAAAGACAAAGAAGGAGACAGAGAGAGAGAGACGGTGAAAGAGAATATATTATAAAACGTAGTGACTGTTTTGAGGGAGAGACAGAGAGAGAATCAGAGTGAGAGAGAGAGACACTGTGATATGTGTGTGTGCTAATGTGTGTGACCCTGGTCCCAACGCCTTGGGACTTGCTCCCCACATGAAAGGCTCCTGTATATACATGTCAATGTGTATTGTGTTGTTACACTATATTCCCTGTGTTTGTGTCTCTGTGTCCAGTCTGGAGGGCAATAATCTGGGAGATTGTGGAGTGAAGCGACTGTGTGAGGCTCTGAGGAACCCGGAGTGTAAAATACAGAGTCTGTGGTAAGTAACGCACTGTGTCTCCAGAGTCTGAATGACTCCAATATCTCAATGTGTTTATTGTGACTGTCTGATCAGTGCGGCTGAATATTGTGACAGGAATCGGTGTGACAGTGTGAGGCCACAACCATCGTTTACATCAAACTCTCAACATGTATTAATGTGTCTGTGTGTCTCGGTGTGTGCGTCTCTGTCTGCGAGTCTGTGTCTGTGTGTGTGTATCTATATTTTTGTGTGTGTGACTGTTGTTAGAAACATTTGCAACTATCTCCAACAACTTTATAATGATCCGGTTCCAGTTTACCAATTGGTTGAGTTCAGTCACTATATTCAGATCAAAACTGCAGGTAATACACAAATAAATGAAACAATAAAATAATACACAAGACACAAAACGGTACCGAGCGGATTCCTGTCACAGCACTGGTCGTGTCTCCCACTGCTCCGCTACCGTTCCCGAGAGATATCTAACACACCTTTGTTTAAAGACACCTTAATATCTCCAGACAAAGCTGTCTTTTTTTAAGAAAAACAACTCCTTATATGGTTCTGTCTACAAAATGTTTCAATTCTCCGTTTAACCACATTATTCTCTCCTGATCAGTCCCTCAGTCCAGTGTGTAAGTTTGAACAGACATTCTGTGTCCCTGTAAGTCCTGACCTTATGTTGCCATTGTTTTGGGCTCTGCCTTCAGTCACTGAGCTTTGCCGCCTTTGCACTCCTATTTTATATTCTTCAACCACACTTTAACATTAACCCATTACAACACTGTGTGTATGTCTCTGTGTGTGTCAGTGCATGTGATTGTACCTGTGTGTGTGTCTTGTGTGTGTCTGGTTGCGTATCTGTGTGTGTGTGTTTGTCTTTCTGTGTATGTGTGTCTATGAATGTTGTTGTGAGTGTGTTTTTGTGTGTTTTTGAGTGAGCTGTGTTTTTATGGTGTATGTGCGATTGTGTGTGTTTGTTTCTGTGTTTCTGTGTGTGTATTTGTGCGCGTTTGTTTCTGTGTATGTTTGTGTATATGTGTGTGCATTTGTGAGTGTTTGTATGTATGTGTCAGCACCTTGGGACGTCCTTCCGACGTGAAAGGCGCTATACAAATATTGTTGTTGTTGTTATGTGTGTTTGTGTATGTTCCTGTGAGTGTGTGCGATTGTGTGTGTGTTCCCAACTCTTCCCTTCACAAACTGCAGATCATTCAAAATCTACAGCTCCTGTACTCCCACACACCAGGCTCCCCGACCCCATCACTCCCAACCCCGCCCGACCCCATCACTCCCACCATCGCCCGACCCCATCACTCCCACCCATCGCCCGACCCCATCACTCCCACCCTCGCCCGACCTCATCACTCCCACCCTCGCCCGGCCCCATCACTCCCACCCTCGCCCGACCCCATCACTCCCACCCTCGCCCGACCCCATCACTCCCACCCTCGCCCGACCCCATCACTCCCACCCTCGCCCGACCCCATCACTCCCACCCTCGCCCGACCCCATCACTCCCACCCTCGCCCGATCCCATCACTCCCACGCTCGCCCAAGTCTTTCCGTCGTCCAGAAGATCGAGTTCAAGATCCTTGTCCTCACCTTTAAGACCATTCTTGGCCTCGCCTCTTCTTCACCTCTCTGACCTGCTGACTCCCTACCAACCTGCCCGCTCCCTCCGTCCAGCGGGCAGGTTGGTAGGGAGTCAGCAGGTCAGAGAGGGGATGCATGGCTACTCCATGTCTCCCGCCCGACCCGCCCTCCCATCGGCGGCCGGGATTTCAGCCTCTCTGCCCCCACACTCTCGAACTCCTTCCCATCGTCACTTCCATTCATTTCTTCCCGGGCCTCCTTCAGGGCCTGTCTTAAGACCCTTCTTTTCTACCGTACCTTTGATCTCCGTCCCACTTCTCTGCCTTTGCCCACCCCTCCCCCACCGATCCCACCACTCAGCCCTTCCCCACCTCTCCCCCATGCTCGGGCCTCGACCCCCGACTATTCGGCGCTCTGGGATGTCCTCACGACGTGAAAGGCGCTCTGTAATTGTCATTTTATTGATGTTGTTGTGTATTTGGGTTCGCGTTTGTGTTTGTGTGCGTGTATGTGTGTTTTTGGGTGCGTCTGTGTGTTTGAGAGTTTGTATGTGTACTTATCTGTGTTTTTGCGTTTGTTTGCGTCAGTGTGCTCAAGTATGCGTTTGTGTGTGATTGTATGTTTTTCTTTGTGTGTGCATTTGTGTGTTTCATTGTGTGTATGTTTGTACGTGTATTGGTATGTGTGTGTTTTTATTTGATTTTGTGCTTCTGTTTGTGTTTGTGTGCTTTTGAGTATGTCTTTACGTGTGTTTCCATGTGTGTTTGATTTGATTGTGTGTGTTATATTTGTTTTGAGTGTGCATGTGTGTGCATGTTGGTGAGTTTGTTTTTGTGTGTATTTGTGTGTTTCTGAGTATATATTTGTACGATTGTGTGCATGTTTATGCATGTTTATGTATGTGTGTGAAGTTGTGCTTGTGTACTTTATTCTGTGTGTGTGTTTATGTATGTGTGTTTGTGTGTTTGTTTCTGTGTGTGTGCGATTGTGTGCGTTTGTGTATTGTTGTGTTTGTTTGTATGTGTATGTGTGGGTAAGTTTTGTGTCTGTGATTTGTGTGGGTGGGTGTTTGTGCGTGTAATTTTGTGTTTGTATTTGTGTGTGTGTTTGTGTGCGTGTGTGTGTATGTGTCTTTGTGTTTGCGTTTCTGTGAGTATATGTGTTTCTGTTTTGTGTGTCTCTTTGTATTTATTTCAGTTTTTATGTGTGTTTGTATGTTTGTGTGTTGTGTTTGTTTGTGTGTACATGTGCGTGCGTGTTTGTTTGTGTGTTTCTGTGTGTGTGTATTTGTGTGTGTTTCTGAGTATGTTTGTGTATGTATGCTTGTGTTTATTTCTGTGTTTATGTGTGTTTACGTATGTGCGTTTGCATATGTTTGTGTGTGCGTTTTTGTGCGTGTCTGTGTGTTTGTTTGTGTGTGTTTCTCTGAGTGTGGGGGATTGTGTACGTTTGTGTGTCTGTGTGCTTGTTTGTGTGTTTCTGTGTGTATTTTCGTACGTATGTGTTTGCGTGGGTGCGTTTGTGTGTGTGCGTTTATTTATGTGCATGTGTGTTTATGTGTGTTTCCATATGTATGTGTGTATTTCAGTGTGTCTGTGTGTGTGTCTATGTGTGTGCGTCTGTGTGTGCTTGGGTGTCTGTGTCTGTTTGTGTGTATTTGTATGTGGTTCATGTGTTTATATGTGTGTGTGAATAAGAGTATATCTTACGTTTCTGTGTTGGTGTGTCCTGGTGTGTGTTTGTGTGTGTGTGTCGCACTCCTACAAACTGTCCGGCATCAAACAAACTGTGAGTGACAGTGGGTTACACATACTGTGTTTACTCTGATCCCTGTTATGTCTCTGTGTCTCTGATCTCAAGGCTGTACAGTAACAATCTGACAGCTGATTGTACAGAGGATCTGACCTCCGCTCTCAGCACAAACCAATCACTGACGGAGCTGTACCTGAGTAGCAATAATCTGGGAGATTGTGGAGTGAAGCGACTGTGTGAGGCTCTGAGGAACCCGGAGTGTAAAATACAGAAACTGTGGTAAGTAACACACTGTGTCTCCAGAGTCTGAATGACTCCAATATCTCAATGTGTTTATTGTGACTGTCTGATCAGTGCGGCTGAATATTGTGACAGGAATCGGTGTGACAGTGTGAAGCCACAAACCATCGTTTACATCAAACTCTCAACGTGTGTTAATGTGTGTGTGTGGGTGTGTCCTTTGCAACTATCTACAATGACTTTAGAATGACCCGGTTCCAGTTTACCAATTGGTTAAGTTCAGTCACTTTATTCAGGACAGAACAGCAGGAAATACACAAATAAATGAAACAATAAAATAGTACACAATACACAAAACGGTACCGACCGGATTTCTGTCACAGCACTGGTCGTGTCTCGCACTGCTCCGCTACCGTTCCCGAGAGATATCTAACACACCTTTGTTTAAAGACAACTGAATAACTCCAGACAAAGCTGTCTTTTTTAAGAAAAACTACTCCTTATATGGTTATATCCATAATATGTTTCAATTTCAATTCTCCCTTTAACCACAAGGA